GAATATCAAAGCATCTCATCAAAAAGTATAAAAGTTACGAGTATATCAAGTATATTTGTCATTTTACGCTTTGCGCGTGCGCACACGTGCATGCATGTGCATGTTGACCATGTCATCTTGTTTACACTTTTAATATATCCTTATATTCTGAGTATCAAAGCATTTCATCAAAAAATATAAAAGTTACAGCTATATCAAGTATATTGGTCATTTTACGCATTGCACGCGCACGCACGTGCATGCACGTGCGCTCAAAATGACCTTGATTCCGCAAATCTACATAACATGCCTATTAACCCTAAAAAGGTTTCACCTCAATCGGATGAGTAGTTGACGAGATCACTCGCGGACAAAAAAGTACCCAGGAAGAAGAAGAAGAAGAAAAATAATAATAACTAGTATTAATTGTAACGGGGACCGTTACAGATGTTCCCCAAACGCTCCCCAACTTCCTTTTGGTGTTTTATTCCCTGTAAGCTTCATTAAATAAGGCAATCAAGTATATTGGTTTTTTACGCATTACACGCGCGCGCACGGGCATGCATGTACAAAATGACCATGTCAACTTGTCTACACTTTTAATACATCTTTATATTCAAATTTCATCAAAAGATAAAAAAAATTCGGCTATATTAAGTATATCTGTCATTTTACGCATTGCAAGCGCGCGCACGTGCATGCATGTCCATGATGACCGTGTCGTCTTGTCAACACTATTAATATATCTACATATTTTGAGTATCAAAGCATTTCAACAAAAAGTATAAAAGTTACAGCTATATCAAGTATATTGGTCATTTTAGCATTGCATGCGCACGCATGTGCATGCCTGTGCATGTTGACAATGTCGTCTTGTCTACATTTATAATATGTCTATATATTCTGAGTATCAAAGCATTACATCAAAAAATGTAAAAGTTATGGTCATATCAAGTATATTGGTAATTTTACTCATTGCATGCGTACGCACGTGCATGCATGCGCTGACCATGTCATCTTGTCTACACTATTAATATATCCTTATATTCTGAGTTTTAAAGTATTTCATCAAAAGATATGAAAGTTTTGGCTATATCAAGTATATTGGTCATTCTACTCATTGCACGCGCACGCACGTGCTTGCAAGTGCATGCATTTGTGCGCTGATCATGTCATCTTGTGTACACTTCTAATATATATTTATATTCTGAGTTTCAAAGCAATTCATCAAAAAATACACAAGTTAAGTCTATATAATTTGTATTGGTTATTTCAATCTTTGCGCATGCGCACACGTGCATGTATGTGCATTCTGACTATGTCATCTTGTCTACACTTTTAATATATCCTGATATCCTGAGTATTAAAGCATTTCATCAAAAGATATGAAAGTTATAGCTATATCAAGTATATCTGTCATTTTACTCATTGCACGCGCGCGCACGTACACGTACGTGCATGCATGTGTGCGCTGATCAAGTCTTCTGGTGTACACCTCTAATATATATTTATATTCTGAGTTTCAATGCAATTCATCAAAAAATGTACAAGTTAAGTCTATATCAATTGTATTGGTTATTTCAATCAATGCGCATGCGCGCACGTGCATGTATGCACATTCTGACCATGTCATCTTGTCTACACTATTAATATATCCTTATATTCTGAGTATCAAAGCATTTCATCAAAAAATATAAAAGTTACAGCTATATCAAGTATATTGGTCATTTTACGCTTTGCACGCGCATGCACGTGCATGCGCTTGCGCGCAAAATGACCTTCGTTCCGCAAATCTACATAACATTCCTATTAACCCTAAAAAGGTTTCACCTCAATCGGATGTGTAGTTTCGGAGATCACTCACGGACAAAAAAGTACCCAGGAAGAAAAATAATAATAACTAGAAACCTTGTTGCCATGGCAACAAGAAGGTCTTCCGTCCCTTTTCTGTCTTCATAGATGTTGATTCCTCTTTAAACAACTTGTTATGTTGTGCATTCCCTGTCACACCTTAATACGAAAAATAGTTCCTTCGCCATGCGCTCGGCACTTTGAAGTTAAAGTTGCGGATATTTTGGATGAGACCTTAAAAACCGAGGCCCCATGTCACAGCAGGTGTTGGCACGATAAAGATCCCTCACTGCTCAATGGCCCTGAGTGCCGAGTAAAAGTCTAAATTTGAAGCCCTTCACCGGTGGTCACGTCTCTATATGAGTGAAAAATTCTCGAATGGGACTTAAAACAACATACAGTCAATCAATCAATCAATCATACATAAAATATAATTAAACGTTTATATTTTGAAAATATTGCAAAACTGGAACAAAAAAAATACGAGATATCATTTTAGGAGGGGGAAGGACCTATGTTCCAAAACATCTTTGTGTGAATTTTTTTTTAAATTTTTGAGATTCTCACACTTAATTGTACAAAATATAAAATTATGTTAAATATTTTTTTTAATTTAAGATCTACATGTATCTACAATATTTTGTTTTATTTTACCCGATTTCATGCATTTCAGGTCCCCCCCCCCCCTCCCTGAGTCAGCACCACACACACATAACAAAATGATTGACACTTCACGTGAAAGCGTATTTTTTCACATACTGTTTCAAGTATACAGATTTTTATGTGTTTCATTGTGTTAATACACTGCATTCCATTAATTAACCATACCTTTATCCGCTAAGTCGCTTTGAGCTCTTAATTATGGCGGATCTTGCTCTAAACTAAATGTCATTGAAGTTACCTCTCATTTGAAATTGCTATTTTTATTTAATCAAGATGAGAAAATAATAAATTCTACTTTCAAAATATAATTTGACAAATCTCCGATTTGTGATTCAATTGCATAGGTACCTAGCTACATTAACATCTTTACCTTATTTTGTCATATCACACACATATGCACATTAATTAGTGCAAAATTCAACTGCAAACTCTTTATGAAGGAGTAAAAAGACACAGTACCATTGTGAAGTCAAACACCATTGCTCTGACGTTGAACGACATAGCCCCCCCCCCCCCCCCCCCCCCCCCCACTTAAAGATAAAATATTACATTTGAGCCCAAACAACAGTGTGAAAAAAATCGGACATTCTTGGGATTGAATAGTGCAAAATTTAACTGCAAACTCTTTATGAAGGAGTAAAAAGACACAGTGCCATTGTGAAGTCAAACACCATTGCTCTGACGTTGAACGACATAGCCCCCCCCCCCTTTGAATATAAATAAAATATTACATTTGAGCCCAAACAATAGTGTGAACAAATTTGGACATTCTGGGGATTGAATACGAGTTGCCCGCGTGAAAATTCAACATGCTTACCATTACGCTATCAAAGATCATCGTATCAAAGTAGCAAGCATAAATATCTAGAGTACGGGTTAATCTATTTTTGAATAAATTATATATTTAGCATTCTGATAAGATTCTCTATTTAACCTATAAATATCATAAAAAAATAATGAAAAAGAAAAAAGTTCAAAAAACTACCCTTTTTAAATCACTTCCTGTGACGACCGGAAGTGGCGACGACACACGAAATGTTTCCATCACACATCTACAAATCACCTTCTATCATACCTGAAAGTTTCAGACTCCTACTTTTAACAGTTTCCGAGAACATTCACGGACTAGATTTTTAGTGGAAAAAGTGAAAAATCGTAATAATTCGTGACCGGAAGTGAATTTTTCCAAACTTTTTCAATATTTCAAAATGGCATGAGATAACACATCATTCCTGAAAATTTGGCTGAAAATGATTGAGTAGTTTTTGAGATATCGCGATTTGAAAAGGTCAGAAAAATAAAAATGAAAAATAATAATAATAATAATAATAAGAAACAGTAGAATCACTATAAGGTCTTCCGTGAAGACGGAAGACCTTAATAATAATAATAAGAAACAGAGTAAAAACAATATGTTCCCAAACTTCGTTTGGGGAACATAATAATAAGAAACAGAGTAAAAACAATATGTTCCCCAACTTCGTTTGGGGAACATAATGAAATAATGATATTCTCAATATAAAATGTCTGAATAATTCAACAATGAAAGTATTTTAATGTAGCAGTTTTTTTTGTTTTTGTTTTTGTTTTTTATTAGGGGAAGTGGGGGTTGTGGGACTGTTGCTTTGTTATTCTTTTATGCTTTCTTTTTTTTTGGGGGGGGGGGGGGGGGGAGAAGGGTGTGTGTGGCTTTTCATGTTTTGGGCTCTTCGTCAAGGAACTATTCCTTTAATATGATGTGTAATTGAAGACATTACTCAATTCTAAAGAAAATTTTGTTAGTAATAAAGAAACTATCATTATTAAGCTACAGATGTATTAATTTGCAGTTAATACAGATTTTTCATATATATATATATTTTTTTTTTTACAAAAAGCCATCTTTTGGGGTGACAAATGTTGACTTTTACACCTACATGTATTTCATAAATTTTCAAATGCAATATTAAAATAAAAACTTAGGGAATAAATATGAAGTCTGTATATTTCACCTAGAACTATACTTTCTACATTTTTCAAATTACAAATGTTACATACAGTAGAACCTCATTAGTCGGGATTCAAATAATCCATAGACACTTAACCTTCCCGACAAAACTTGTTAGGAACAGAATTTTTATTGATTTATACCAATTATTAAAAGTACATTTCATTAATCAAAACGATTTGCTCAAGAACACAGCTATCTAAATTAATGAAACTTAAATGTATATAAGAAAAATGGATATAAACTGTAGAAAATCCTTTATCTTTATAATATCATGTCTATGAAACATGTTCTCAGCATTAAATCAAATGTGATGTGTTCTCAACTCAAAAAGCCCCAAGTAGGACAAAAGGAAGGAAAACCAATATTAATATACATTTAAAAGATTTCAGTGAATCCTAAAAAAAAAACTACTGAGCTTTTCATTCATTCTTGGGCTTCAACGTAAGTGAGCAGTGATGAACTAAAACACAGCACAACAGTGGTGACACCAATTGACCAAAACCACATCAATCCTTACCTGTGTTGAAGAGGCACGAATGTAAAATTAATTATCTGAGCAGCAGGCCAAATCTGACAAAGAAAAACATACGACTATTATTGTGATAAAATTTAGCTAAAATACTGGTAAAATCAAGTACACCTGTACTGCTATTATCTGATGAATCATTTAAATGAGAGGCAAAAAGACTTCAGTCTGTATTTTTCATCCTAAAATTTATCTGCAAAAAATTCTCATTGTTTTCTATAAATGATGCTAAAAGAATTTACATTTCTGTTTTTCAGCTTAGTCAATTTGATATGATTCAGAAAAAAAGATACATGTAAATTTCATTAAGCCCCTCTAATGTGATGTTTATATATAATGTACTTGCTGTCACTACTGCAAATAAATGTATACATAAACCATCTTTCAATTTTCCTTGATATTAACACTTTTTTCTTTCTTTCTTTTTTTTAACAGTTAAATGCTAATTACCTTCCAGTTTGTTGTCATGACATCATAATAATCCTACAAAAATAAAATAAAAGGCACATACATATATTATTTAACAACTCTTTTTCACCAAATCACAGCTGCAGAATTTTTATCATATTAAAGGTGAGATTTTTGCTATTTTGGAAAAGAGACATTAATTTAGCAATGGCAGGAGTTCAGGCTGAATTGTATGATTACGCCCATGATAACATCAGAGATTTTTCAGAATCTTCACTCAATGTCCCTTTATCATAGTCAGAGTGTAAAGGTAGTGGGTATAATTGGGGAAGAGGGAAACATTTGTGTTAGCTTACGGAAAGGTCTATATAATTTGTCATGTGTAAGTGAAAAACTAGGCTTTTTTTATCTGAAGTGAAACTTTATAGTGTACTATTATATAAAACATAATGCATGCAATTAAGCATAACATTGAAAATTTTCACCCCAAGAAAACCATTGTCAACCAAGGCATAGCCAAGGTTTACAATGGTTTTTGAGGAGTGAAATTTTCAATGTTACCTTCATTTACATGCAGTATTTATTATTATACTGAATGTTTCATACAATTACAAATAATGGTGAAATGAATGCACATAGATTCCCTGCAACCAATACTTTTTGGAATAACACCCATCAAACAATATTGACTATTGCTAAGTTCTATCGTGCTGGTTTCATTGTTCAGAATCAGAGGGTGACAGTGTTTTTTTTTTTTTTTTTTTTTTACAAATGTTTCTAGATGAATCAAGTTCAAGTAATTTACATGAAAGTATAATATTGAGTTACACTCCATCTAAGAATCTGCATTATGAATGCTTTGGTAGAAATGGCAATGCCCTTAATATCACTTTACCTTCTTAACTTTTTCTGCAATTTCATGTACAGGGTCTTGTCTCATAACTCCCATGGTGAAGAGAAAAAATGGCAAAAACACTGGTGCAAATAATCCCTAAAGGCAAACATTTAAAGACTATATCAAATAATTCAGAATGCTGTTTCATCAGATTTTCTAATCATCATGAAGTTAACTGTCATAAAATATACATATATATGGTTGGGTTTTTTTTGTTTGTTTGTTTTAAAAGAACAAATCCTTGATATTACTTTTCTGCCTTTTTAAAGATCAGTCTTATGAACACTTAACAAATGCAACTTTCATTCAATTGTACATAATCATAACATAAAAAAAATTAATCATTTTCTGCCAATATCATAAACAATTTCTTGATAAAAGTAATAGAATTTACTATGTATACCTGATCTGCTAGCATCATTTTCATAGGTGCATACTTTGTTTTGCCAAATATCTTATCTATTGAGAAGTACCAACCCCTAAATAATGGACCCTGAAAAAAATATTTAAAGATTTCTTGAAAGTGAGACAAAAATTGCATGTATCTTTACATTAATGCTGCTTTGATTAAGAATTCTAATGCACTGATACAAGCAATGTTTCATTAACATGTATTTACAAATTTGCATGATTCCCAGCATATTTTACAGTGTATCCACATTGAATTTTGAAATAATGTGCAGTGCAAGGGTACATATGTATGTCAGGATAACACTCTGGTCTTCATAAATTACTTTATACTTTATCCATGGCTAGATTCTTCAGTTAATGACGCAGAAATCCATATTGAGGGCTACTCTGTAATCCGCAAAGATAGGAATAGGAATGGCAGAGGTGTGTGCATGTTCATCAACAACAAGTTTGCGATCTCCCAATAAGAGATTAATTCAAACAATATAGAATCAGTCTGGGCAGAAATCTACTTACCAAAAACAGAACCATTTATAGTGGGCACAGTTTATAGACCACCCCAGGATCAACAGTTTCTTGGACATTTTGAGGAGTGCCTAGAGTGCTTAAGATCTGATTTAGATAACATTATTCTTGATTATTTTAATATTTGTATGCAAAATAAGAAAAATCCATTACATGTATATGAAGGATATAAGCAATTGTTCTTAATTTGTTTGGTCTTAGTCAATTGATTTCAAGTCCAACCAGAATCTCTGAAATGGGCTCTTCACTAATAGATCATATTTTAGTAAACAATGATGATAAAGAATGAATCCTCATAACACTGCTTTCTCACCCCTTTTTAAATGCAGAAATTTACATTTTCAAATCAAAACATTGTTATATTATAGCTAAAGTCTTCAAGCATAGTCTGTATAGATTCTCATAAAAGATTTTTTTGGGAAAGAGACTTTCAATTTATACATTATATCGACTAAATAAAATCGTATACTTCACTGTAAAATCCCGATTTCGCCATTACAGCTATGCAGGTCATTGTATTATTTGAATGAGAAGGCGGAGCGTCAATCAAGCGTGCGATTAGTATGAATACATTAGCGTGTGTTCGAGGTGTACTAAGTGTTATGATTAACTGACACCTAAAAAGCCTTTTTTCATGCTAGAGACCGACAAAATATAAGCATACATTTTTAATTTGTCTGGCTTAATTTTGATTTCTTACGAGTCGTATTTGAAATGATTTACTAGAAATTCATTTAATTATTTATACATTAAATACACAATGGAATTTGGAAACGGAACGTATAACGAGGGATACACTATTTTTCATACTTTAAAGAAACCTTTTTTTTTTCTTTTTTTTTTTTGAAAAAGAGATAATTAATCCATTTAAGCCTATTACATAATTAGAAATTTTTTCATACATATATATAATTTTTGCAAAATCCCAGTGCAACAACAAATACACGTAGGCGGTTGAATTATGATATAAAACTACACTCGGTGTATGAAAAATAGATAGTTAAGAAAGTGAAAATTTAAACGTCAATTTAACGTCAGTATCATTGCTGGTGGATAAAGAAACAGTTCAATTGCTTTGTTTCAAAAAATCCTGTTTATTCATGCCAGACAAGTTAATATGATCTTCCTCATTTAGGAATTCATTAACTTTCGAAATCCACTCCCGTACTTTTTGATCTTAACAAACTCTCTCCTTGTAGTAAGATATATAATAAATCACTCCGAGGTATTTTTAACGCTCTTTTTCATTCGACTGATTTTTTTTTTTACTAATATCTACGTTGATCGGACATGTGAAAGGGTCATACAAATGCATGTTCTTACTTTTAAACATTATGCTTTAAAAATACTTGCGAACATGGATTTTTTTTTAAAATGATCTAAAAAAAAAAAAAAATGAAATTTTGTGCCGATATAAAAAGTTATAGCATTTGCTTCAGAAGAAACATGAAGCTTCCTTCTATTCAAATTAGGGGTGCTTTTTGTGCAAATGTATTCACCCAGTGACTTTCATCCGATACAAAAGTTTTTTGAGCGCTCCGTACTTCAATTTCTTTTCATTAAGGTTTCTTCTATTGGAAGTATGCATTTGTGCACTTGTAACAAACAATTTATTTTTCTAAAGATATGATGAATTGGTGTTTTTCAAATAACAGACTATAAAATTGATGACAGTTTTAACTGAAAAAAAATCTTTCATATCTTCCAAGTCAATGAACGGAGCACTGATGTATATTTAGGAACAAGGGCAAATGTATAATATATACCCACAGTAATTTAAATTTTAGAATTCTGTATTTATGAGACACAAGCAGTAAGTGCAAGCTATATGCTACAGGCCTTCAATATAAATTGATAGATACCAAAAAAAAAAAAAAAATCAAACAAAATCGACTGAAAATCTTAACACATCTTAATCATAAAAAAAATTTCTCCCAGAATTTTAATTACCCATTTGAAAAAATGATTTGACCATTGATGGCTCGCAGACACTATACATGTACACAATGTTGCATAGGTGTGCTCAAAGCGTGGAAGTGAATAGATTTGAGTCACGTGTTCAGTGCTTTGTTATTCATGAGGTCAAAGACGGGTTGAAATTTGTAAACAAGGTGCCTTTACTATGGAGACAAGCACCCGTGATTTTGCACCTTGTTGGAAAATAACAAATGAGCGCAAGACTGTTTCAATTTCTTTCATGAATGTAAATGACTAGTATAACTCTTTACATTGACCGTATTTACAACAACTTGAAACATCCATGCGCTCCACAGGCGCTTGACGTTTTTAACCTTTCTTTCCATAAATAAAAAATCCCCCATACTATAATAATAACAAGGTTCGTCACGGTCGCCATCTTGAATTTTTCAGTTCAGCTACTTCGCCTCGATTTTTAGTCTACAATGTGTTTAAAATTAACGGATACAACCGTTTCCCTCAAGTACTTACTTTAACTATGCCTCCACTTTCGGGCAATTCAACTCAAATCACATTAAATCCTCTCTAATTCTTAAAATGTCGCTTCAAACTCAGTCTACTGCTACCGATTCCGTAAAACTTAGAAAAGGGAGGCCGGAAGTTGATGTTGTTAATATGGGAATTCCCTCTACTTAAATTTCATTGGTTAAAAGAAATATGACGTTTCGCGGGAAAAATCATGCAAAGACAGTAACAAACTTTTTCGACATGTTGAATGCTGAGCAGGCCGATGCTTTCCATAATCATCAGAAATAATATGTGAAATATTTTTTTTCTTTTATTTTGTTGAAGAAAAAATCATGAGGAAATAAAAATTATGTTTGGTCCTGGAATTCTGGTTTCTAATTTCTCTTGTAAACTAGGCCCTTGCATTCTGCATAAATATTTCTTCCCTATAGTGGTACTATTTTCAGTGTTTGGAAGCGATGGAAATTATAAAAAAAGAAGGATAGATATGTGTATGTTTATTTTTCATCACAGTGGTGAGCTGGCCAAAATCACTGAACCTCCATGTCCCCTCTTTCTACAGGCGCGAAGCTGTCTTTGCAAGTATGCAAGTGCGTTACTACACATCGTTTTAAAAAAAAAACTAGGTCTGAGAGAGAGAGAGAGAGAGAGAGAGAGAGAGAGAGAGAGATTGTTGAGAGAAAAAAAATATTAGCATCATCCGGCAAATATTTTTGTTTCAAATTATTAATTGTCATTATTTCGAATCAAATTTTATATTATTACGTCTATTTGAAATCTTTTATTGAATCATTGCCAAATCCAACTAAATCATTAATCTATTGTGAGTGTTCTATAACACATTAATAATTCTATAAGACCTTTGAGAAATTAAGTTTAATTACCGTCAAATGGCTTGATCAAATACATGTAGTATACTGGCGGATTTAAAGGGGGACAGGGGACCCGCCCCCTCCCTTTGTGTCCAAAATATACATAAGTTTAATAAAGCAATTTTTTGTGTGTGGCTGTGAGCCTCTACCCTGACCCCAAACTGGTCCCCCCTTTCAAGATTCCTGGATCCGCCACTGTAGTATATGATTTTAAAATTATTCTTGCTACCAACATTTAAAATACTTGTTGTTGAACATTATTAATACATATTATAACAGAGAGCAGACGATACAAATGTAGCGGTAAAAGATTCTGGATGCCTCAAGTACATTTACAATAAGTTTCCGAGAAAGTTAAACTTCGTGTTAAAAACAATATTACTGTCTTGTCTTTCATAAGGAAAGCCAAATACCATGCTATTCCCTGCAAGAATGTGATTGAAATATTTGTACAAGCTAGGAGCTTCCCCTCCCCCCCCCCCCCGCCCCAATCAAGGCTTCGCCTAAGACCTACGGGTGGCCTCACAGATTATATTGCCATTCATTTATTTTTAAGGGAGGACCAATTAATTCCGGAGGGGGGGGGGGCTTGGCTGGCAGTTTTTCTCCAGCTTTATTTCCATGTCAGTGAAGGACAATTAAATTTATTTTCAAAATCTGCCAGACCCCCCCCCCCTAAATTTCAGAATTAAATTGTAAATGCATTTATGTTTTGACAATATAATTGAATTTTTATTTGGATTTAAGCCCCCCCCCCCTTTACTTTCAGGTGTGTAACTACGCCTCTGTATGTAAAATACAGTGTATACTATTTAGCCTATATATTTCAGTGTTTCTTAAAACAGTTGGGGACTATAGATGTATCAATATATATTACTAAGTTATTTATAAAATACGTACCAGTAGTCTACAACTGCTCAAGCTCCATTTTTAAACAGCTCTTAATATTAATATAACTCTCAAGATATCCACCAATCAGAAAAGGGCTTTCCCGGATTGTGACGTTCTAACATCAACTTCCGGCCTCCCTTTTCTAAGTTTTACGGAATCGGTAGCAGTAGACTGAGTTTGTAGCGACATTTTAAGAATTAGAGAGGATTTAATGTGATTTGGGTTGAATTGCCCGAAAGTGGAGGCATAGTTAAAGTAAGTACTTGAGGGAAACGGTTGTATCCGTTATTTTTAAACACATTTTAGACTAAAAATCGAGGCGAAGTAGTTGAACTGAAAAATTCAAGAT